GGAGGAGGAGGAGGAGGAGTGCGTGGCGAGGCTGCCAGCAGAGGAAGGCAGCGTGGGGCTCAAGATGGCTCCGCGACATGTGCCGTTCTCGCTGCCGGGGCCGGAGCGGTGCTGGGCAGAAAGGGAGAGCCGAGGGATGCTGCGTGTTTCCTTCCCTGTTGGAAGAGGCTGAGAAACGTTGTCCAGGGGCAAGAGGAACAGGCCGCACCGAGGATGACTCTGGCTATGCCGATGCAGTTGGCTGCGGAAGGCTTTGGCTGAAGAATGGGCTTTCCCACAGACTTCCCGTATGCAGTCCTGGGTAAATGGTGTGCTTCGTTACCGCTGCCCCGTCTGCAAAGCAGAGGCACCGTTCCTGCCTTGCGTTATTTGGGGGCATGGTATTCCATTCAATAATGTTTGCAAGCTGCTTGGAAGTGGGAAGGTCATTTTAATATCTGAACAAGTAAGATTTAGGATATCTGCATCATGGCTGCGCCATAAACGTCACTGTTCATCCGGGTGTCTGAGCTGTCTGTACGCCCTTATGGCTCTGTGGGCATTCGCAACTACAGCTTCCTGAGAAAAAGCCTGTTGGCAAATGATGTTCCTGGGTTAAAAACTTCCCCGTGCCTAAAATGGACAAACCAGGATCAGGGCTGAAGGGCTACATCAAAAGAGAGCACAGGCAGACGTCTTTTGAAGTCGTTTAAGTGGCCGCGGGTGCCCGGGGCTGCCTGAGCTCCTGCGGTGCCTTCCGCTCTCATTCTTGCTGTGAGATTATTTTATATTTTTTTTTGCCACCTGGGTCGGGGTTTCAGTTTGACTCAGAGAGGCGATACTCGAGAGCTTGGTATTGCTGTGTCTAACCGGAGAGCTTCAGCTCTTTGCTGAATGAAGCTGCTCCAAAGCGATTACTGAGAAGAGTTGTGCGGAGCCTCCCCGGGTCTGGGGGAGGTGTTTGTAGCCACGCTGGAGCACACCGTAAACATCTTAAACGGGAGCCTTGAGTCACGGGATGAGTGCTTAGCAGAAATGGGCTGACATCCCAACACCCTGCCGCTTTGGCCCTTTCCAAAATACCCACATGTTTGTACGAACAGTGGCCCGCGACACCATCACCAGAAATACAGCCCCTGGCAGTTCTGTTCCGTTGCCCGCAGCCCCGGTCTGCAGCGAAGGTGTTTCCAGTCACCTCCTGTCCTGTGTGAGCCGTCTCGGTGCCGCAGGCTCCGGGGCAGGCGCAGCGTTGGTGGCCCCTCTGCCCGCCGCGGGGGCGAGGGCACCGTGTCCCCCCCACGGGCCCTTCGGGGCTCCGGTCCCTGCCGTGCCGCTGGCGTTGAGGTGGGAAACTCCTCTCTGCTGTGAGATGGCACTGGAGCGGTGCTAACCTCGCTGTTCTCTTTGCCCCTAGAGTGATTTACCCTCTGTCGGACTCCCCCTCCGTGAAGATGTCCCAGTCGTCTCCAGCTGATGAAGGCGCAACGTTCGAGCACCTCTGGAGCACGCTGTAAGTGGTGGTTGATCATTTGCCTCGAGGTTTACCCCGAGGTAGAAGTGGCCCTTTGCTCTGTAATGTCTGTTAGCACGTGTCGTTACTGTCGCCCGAAGGGAGACGAGTTTCTTTTTCATGCTCCAGTTTTCGCATGTTCCTTTTCCACGTTGAGAATTTTGCTCCCGGACTCCAGTCTCCCGGCTCAGACCATTTCTTTTGCCAGACCCCTTTGCCCCCGGTGACGCTGGGCACTTCAAAGCCCGTCCTGTGCCACTGCTGGAGGTGCCCCTGCTCTGGCAGGGGGTGGCACTGGGGGAGCTCCAGAGGGCCCTTCCAGCCCCCACCAGTCCGTGGTTCTGTGATTCTGTGAGATGGTGTCAGGGCCAGAGCAAAGGTCCCCTCTTGCCCGGGATGTGGCAGGGGAGGATGTGCTGTCACTCGTCACTCTTCACTCATGAGGTCATAAGTCTTGGTGGCTGCCTAATTAAAGTGGATCTTTTCTAAAATTAAACATCTTCTAGCCACACCAAGACTTTTGCAAGTCTTCTGGCCTTTGAGCCTCTCGCTCTAATCCAGCAAGGAAGAAGGACGGTGCCTCATTTCGTCCTCTTTCTTCCCTGGTGTCCTCTCCCTCAAAGGCGTGCTGAGGGGACGGGGACGCTAGAGCAGTGGGGTAAACGAAAATTCCCAGGTCTCTGCTTGCTCTACCCGCCAGCAACAGTTTGCCTGAGCAAAGCCTGCTCCGCCATGTGAAAATAAAAGCCGAGGATGGGGGGGAGAAGGTGAGAAGGGAGCATGGTTGACGGGAATGCGAGTCGCTGGGTGGTGGAGGTGCGGGTTGCGCTGGAGAGCTGGCAGGCTGACTGCGCCGTCCCCTTTCCACAGGGAGCCCGACAGCACCTACTTCGACCTCCCTCCGTCCAACCATTCGGGCAGCAATGAGGTCTCCAATCGCACAGAGGTGACGATGGACGTCTTCCAGATGAGAAGCATGAACGACTCGGTCATGGTGAGTGCTCAGACTGCGCAGGTGGGAGCTGCATCGAGTACAAGTCTGTTTTCCCCGCCGCAGGCTGGGGGCTGCGAGGCTGGGAGAGGGATGCTTGCGGCTTCATAAACCGAACACAGCTGCTACAGGTGCAGTCGTCTGCGCGGGGTCTGATAACCTGTAATCGACGGCTGCGCTGCAGGAGCGCAGCCGGGTGGTACAGCGTGTCGCAAAAGAGCGGCTACTTGTTCACGGATTCTCTTGCTGCAGGCGGCAGCGGGGCTCTGTGCCGCGACGGTGGTGGAGCTCGAGTTCCTCGACAGGAGGAGAGTGTAATCTGCTCCAGTATAAACATGCTGTGTAGTAAAAGCTGTTTGTAAGCTGCCGGCGAGGCAGAGCTGCTGGAGGGGCACGCTGCGCTCCCAACGCCCAGCTCTGCTCCCACCGCAGCCCCCCCGGGCCGTTGCCCTTCCCTCCAAGAAGCTGGCGTGTCCCCATCTAAGGCGAAGGGTTTGAAAAGCGACGTAGGGGC